AGTATCTTATTTTTGGGAAAACACAGTAGCTGACTGATCAGGGTGGTGATTGCTAAGGTTGAGGTGGCAATTCTTTTCTTTTCTTTTCTTTTTTTTTTTAATGTAGAGACGGAGTCTCACTTTATTGTCCTTGGTAGAATGCTGTGGCGTCACACAGCTCACAGCAAGCTCCAATTCCTGGGCTTAGGCAATTCTCCTGCCTCAGCCTCCCAAGTAGCTGGGCCCACAGGTGCCTGCCACAACGCCCGGCTATTTTTTGGTTGTTGTTGCAGTTTGGCGGGGGCTGGGTTTAAACCTGTCACCCTCAGTATATGGGGCTAGCAGCCTACCCACTGAGCCACAGGCGCTGCCCAAGGTGGCAATTTCTTAACATGACAGTGAAGTTTGCTGCATTGAATGATTCTTATTTTCACAAAAGACTTCTTTGTAGCATGTGATGCTGTTTGATAGCCTTTTACCCAGGGTAGAGTTTATTTCAAAATTAGAGTTAGTCAGCGATTCCATTGCCTCAGCCTCCCAAGTAGCTGGGACTACAGGTGCCTGCCACAATGCTGGGCTATTTTTTAGAGACGAAATCTTGTTCTTGCTTAGTCTGGTCTTGAACTCGTGAGCTCAAGCAGTCTACCCGCCTTGGCCTCCCAGAGTGCTCCCAGCATGGGTAGACTGCTTGGGAAGCCAAGTTGAAAGGATTGTTTGAGGCCTGCTTTGTGCTGGGTCCAGATTTAGCATAATTCTTAAAGGCTCTAAAATTTTTGGCATAGTAAATTAACCACTTGCATTAGTCCCTAACAACAGAGGGATATCCTCTGAAGCTCGGCATTAACTTCTCTCTAGCGGTGAACGTCTTAGATGGCATCTTCTTCCAATAGAAGGCTATTCATCTATATTGAAAATCTGTGGTTTAGCATAATCACTTTCATCAGTGATCTCAGCTAGATCTCCTGCATAACCAGCTATACAGCACTTGCTATGTCACCTTGCACTTTTACATGTATTATGGAGACAGTTTCTTTCCTTAAACCTATGAACCAACCTCGACTAACTTCCCAACTTTTCTTCTGCAGCTTCCTCACTTCTCTCAGCCTTAATAGAATTGAAGAGAGTTAGGGCTTTGCTCTGGATTAGGTTTTGGCTTGAGGAAATGTTGTGGCTGGTTTAATCTTCTAATGAGACCACTAAAACTTTCTCTGTATCAGTAGTCAGGCTGTTTGCCTTTCTTGCCATTTGTGTGTTCACTGGAGTTGCACTTTTTATTTCCTTTAAGAACATATTCTTTGCATTCACAATTTGGTCAATGGTTTGGTGCAAGAGGCCTAGCTTTCAGTCTGTCTTAGCTTTCAACATACCTTCTTCACAGGCTTCACCATTTCCAGCTTTTGATCTAAAGGGAGAGATGCGTGATTCCTCTTTTCTCTTGAACACTGAGAGGCCATTGTAGGGTCAATTACATGTGATTGGCCTAATTTCAATGTTGTTTTTCTTGGAATAAGGAGGCCTGGCTCGGTGCCAGCCACATACACCTAAGGTGGTGGGTTCGAATCCAGCCCGGGCCCACCAAAGAACAATGATGGCTGCAACCAAAAAATAGCCGAGTGTTGTGGCAGGCGCCTGTGGTCCCAGCTACTTGGGAGGCGGAGGCAGGAGACTCGCTTAAGCCCAGGAGTTGGAGGTTGCTGTGAGCTTTGATGCCACTGGCACACTACCCAGGGGGACAGCTTGAGGCTCTGTCTCAAAAAAAAAAAAAAAAGGAGGCCTAAGGTGAGGGAGGGGTATGGGGAACAGCAAGTCAGTGGAGCAATAAGAAAGCACAATATTTATTAAGTGGTACCCCCAAACAGTTACAAGAATAACATCAAAGATCATTGACCATGAATCACCATAACAAATAATATTAATGAAAAAGTTTGAAATACTGTGAGCAAAAACTTTGACACAGAGACACAAAATGAGCACATGCTATTGAAAAAATGACACCAACAGATTTGAGGTAGACTTGAGGCAGAATTGCCATAAACCTTCAATTTGTGTGTGCATGTGTGGGGGAAGCAACTTCTGTGAAACACAATAAAATGATGATATGTCTAACTTGTAGCCACTTCCCTTTCTTCAGGTGGAGGCTTAGGCCATTGATTTGGGACCTTTTTCTTTTCTAACAGAGACATTTAGAACTATAAACCTTTCTCTAAATGCTACTTTAGTTGCATCTCACTAATTTTGATATGCTGTAATGTTTCAGTTCAAACAGTATTTATTATTTAGTTCAAAATATTTTCTAATTTCTCCCATTATTTCTACTTTGGCCCAACGCTTATATAGAAGGGTATTAATTATTTCCAAGTATTTGGGGAAGTTGCTTGGTTATATTTTGTTACCTCTAATTTAATTCCATCATGGTCAGAGAATATACTCTATAATTTCCATCTTTTATGGTTTTTTAAATTTTTTTTTTTTTTTTTTTTGAAACAGAGCCTCAAGCTGTCCCCCTGGGTAGAGTGCCATGGCATCACGCTCACAGCAACCTCCAACTCCTGGGCTCAAGCGAGTCTCCTGTCTCTGCCTCCCAAGTAGCTGGGACCACAGGCGCCCGCCACAACGCCCGGCTATTTTTTGGTTGCAGCCATCATTGTTGTTTGGCTGGGTCTGGGCTGGGGATTCGAACCCGCCACCTT